TGAACTACAGAGAAATTAAAAAATCGGTTTCTGTTAAGTTGTAGCCCTACATCTTAGCTACATTTTAAAACCAACCCGAGCTCTCTAACGTTAAAAATGGCAGAGAAAACTGGGACGGACGAAGACCCATTTTTGGACCTTAATTGTGAGCCAGCTCTTGATAGGTTTAATATTTCGAGCTGAAATTTTTACTGTGAGATCATTATACCTAGATACACCATCTCTAAAAGTTCCATTAAGATCGGATGCTCGTAAGCAGAAATGGATTTTTGGGTGGGGGGTGGGCCTTGAGGAAGTACTAACACAGGTAGTATGGTAAGTACTTTATTGTCTGCAAGTACTTCAGGTCTTTTCTAGGTACCTGAAAAGTAGCCGTCGCGTCCTTCCCATCAAGTACTTGAAGCACTTGGAAAATACTTATCTAGTAATGTACCATAATGAGTTCAAATGTGGTTCCGCTCTCAACAGTCAGATTTTGCATCATGAATTAAGACCGGCTGTAAAAGATGCAAGACATAACTCTTTTGAATGCATCCGTATTTATATATTCAAAAAAGAGAAGCTTATTTGACTAATTAAAAACAACTGATCGCTGTCCGTCCGCTTCCATTCGTTACGCTTCCAGCGTAATAAACGATAAAAATCAACGGGACGATACGAAAAGGCAAAGCTAATAACAACATTATAGAAAAGAAAAGATCATCTACTTTTCAAATAGCCAATACTCATCTTATTGACAAGTATTTAAGGTATCTCTACTTGTAGACGTTTTATGATATGCAAATCACTTTGAAAAATCACTGTCATGTAAATCATGACATGCAAGAGAAATATTTTTGGTATGTTGCAACTTATTCAAAAATATACAAATACCTAACTAATTTTTAAAATTTAGTCACGTATGTGATATGAAGAAAGAGAGAAAAGACAAGTAAAGCTGTATATAACACCTGACTGAGAATAAGTGAAACGACAGAGAATGAACAACAACGAAATATATAACAGAATGAATCAAACAAGAAGAAAAGGGACAAGTGACAACGATTCACCGAGAGTAACCGGATCATAATATCTATATAAACGTTTTCTCAATTGTTTCGTGTCCGATGCCTTCTTTCCACATGCACTGTTCTAGCGCGGATGAAGGATAACACACTTTCTCTGTATGCACTTGTTACATAATAGCAGTTCTTACGTAAGACGAAAGACGATATTATGAAACTGTAGCTTAATATATTTTAGAGCGTTAACACGAAATGTTATGGTCCTGGGTTCGACTCCCGGTGGACTTATATTTCCTTTCGTTCAGTTTTAACATCATTTCCCGATTTAATAGAAATAGATTATAAATGCACTTAGTAAGCATTTTGCGAAAGAAGCACTTGACAAGTGCTTTAGCAAGTACTAACACAAGTAATCCAGATACTTATCAAATCTTAACACATTGATGACCGGTGACGAGAAAACTCGTCCTTAAAGCTCGTCCGTTGTAAATACCGGTCATCAATGTGTAAAATACTCAAAAATTTTCATACGTACTAAAGCAAATACCTATAAAGTACTGTTTTCTAAAAATACTTTCCAAGTACTTCACTAAAACTTTTCGAAATATGCAAGTGCCCAAGCACTTGATCTCAAGTACATTCACTAGGGTGTTGCTGCAAATTATATTCTGTTATGCCATAGAAAAGGAGTAACCGTTGATTTTAGGTGTGAACCTATTCTTTTCGAAGTTATATCGCAAAAAATAAATTTACTTTCAATTAAAACTCACTTATATGTTTATGTATATCGAAGAATACATATATTTATATATTGCTATAATTATTATGTGCTCATATTCTTCAAATCTATCGAGATTTGAAAGAAATGCCTGTTGTTTAAAATGATTTGTGTGTTTGTAAATAATACCTAAAACTTCGTCACTCATTTTTTAGTTAAAAACCAATCAAAAGTGGAGGAAAACTCTTGCTTCATTTACGGAGTCACCACTCACCGTTCTCGTGAGAGGTGTTCTTATTACCAACTTTTTTCTTTAACAGCGCCTGATTCTGTTTTAGAAAAATTTGAGTTAAACGTGGTACATGACAGAGTGAATTATTCTCTACAAAATAAGACCACTCCCAGCTCTCCTCGACCTTTCACTTAGATACTAAGCGTTTTTTAAAGTTTGTTGGTTTGCGCTGAAATAACTATTTTTTCACTTTCAACAATTTTTTCTCCCTCATTCAGTAGTTGAACCGGTTTTAAATAGTTGGTCTTGCAGATTTCCCTACAAATATGAACGATTTGGAAAATGTTAGGTTTATCATCGAAAAACAAAATGATTATGTTTATTTTGTGCATACTTTTGTTAATGAATTTCTAGTTTCCGAATTTCTGAAAAATTGAAATTGTTTTGGAAAAATCAAGGGTAGCGCTATTGCCACTCTCTGAGGGTGTCAAAAGAAGTTGTATTTTAACCTATGAGTGTAAGTTCTGGTACGATTTAATGACTTTCACATAAGTAAACCTAGCAGCGGATTCGAGTATTTCTTGCTAATATTCGTCCACGAGCTTGTGTAAACTCTCTCTTTGCTTGTGTAACATGCAGAATTCAATTCTCTATCGAATGGTGGTCTTTATGAATGGGGTCATCTAGCGAAAAATGGGGTTCAACCCTTAAATACTGATTCTGTACCTAGGTTATGGTAATTTGATGTTCTTGGCACCCTTTCTGGACGCAATCTTATATAAAAGACCATCGACTACCTCATACGACAATGTGGTTGGATCTTGCTTGATTTCTTTGATTTTATCGAGGATGACTGTATCCTGTTGTTATCCATTTTTAATTTTGTAATATCAAAATCAGTTGATGGGGTTGCTGTGGATACCTTACTGACAGTTTCCACCGTAAATTCTCGTCCTAATAGATATGATCTAAATTCTTCAATACAACCCACCATAGCTACACATTCTTTTTCGGTGGTACTATATCTTTTCTCCGCCGGATTTAATTTACGTGATAAATGGCTGATTGGCTTTGGATCGTCTTTGGTAATTTGTTTTAAAACGCCACCATAACCAATGTCGGATACATCTGTTGATAAAACGAGTGGTGATGATGGGTCTGGAAATGACAATAATAACCGTTCTGTTGATAAACGTTCTTTCAATTGTTCATAAGCTTGTTGTTGTTCTTGATTCCAGAAGAATTTTTGTTTTCTGTTTCTTGTTAACTTGTGTAATGGGGCTGTTATTATGGAGAAATTTGGAATGAATTTTCTATAAAAACTAGCTGCTCCCAAAAATGCATCAACGTCCTTAATTGATTTTGGTGTCGGTAAATCAATAAGAGCTTTAACTTTATCCATCAAAGGTGTAATACCTTCGCTGTTGACTGTGTGGCCTAAATAATCCATTTGTGGGTGAATTAATGAACATTTTGATGGATTTAATTGGAAGTTGGCATCGTTTAATACTGTTAATATTTCATCCAGATGTTGTTCATGTTGAGATGATTTGGAAAATATAATAATATCATCAAGGTAAACCAAACAATGATCCTACCTTTTGATATGCTAATAATTCATTCATAATTTGCTGAAATGTGGGAGGCGCATTTTTGAGACCTTGTGGTAACACATTGAATTCCCAATGACCATCCTGAAGAATGAATGCTGTTTTTTCTTTATCATCTTCTTGGATGGGTATTTGGAAATAGCCGGATTTAAGATCTAGTTTGGTGAAATATTGGTGACCACCTAAGCGATTAATTGTTTCTCCCATATGTGGTAATGGATAGGAATCTTTTTTGGTGATGTTGTTAAGTTTCCTGTAATCTACACAAAATCTAGTTGACCCGTCT